TTTTTTTTTTTTTTTTTTTTAATTGTCATCTCAATAATAGTGATATTAATGATGATAAATTAGTAATCTTAAGCATTGCTCACGAGAAATTTGGAGCCTCCTCCACTGTGTACGGTTTGCTTTTAGGACTGTTCAAAAATCCGTTAAACCGGGTAATCCGGACAAACCAAGACCGAACCGTACGGTTTGGTTCGGTTCTATTAAGAACCGGTTCGGTTTCGGTTCTAAAAATATTGAAAACCGTAAAAAAGGTTCGGTTAACGGATTTTTATAAAAAAATCACCGGTTCGAACCGAAACCGAGGCCGAATATATATATATATATATGATATTTAATAAATGATATTTAATTGGAATGCCAATCACGCCATTCTTGAGAGAGAACATTTTGAGAATACTAGTTCATTAATTCAATCACGCCATCTGTTTATAATAAATGATATTTAATGGAATGCCAATCACGCCATTCTTGAGAGTAGAACATTTTGAAATACTAGTTCATAAATTCAATCACGCCTGTTTTAAACATCAGTTAAATATATATATATATATATGATATTAATAAACAGTTAGTTCATAAATTCAACTCAATTCCACGCCATTTCTGAGAGAGAACTCGAAGGGTCTCGACTATTTCTTGGCCTTGGCCTTCAGTTCAGATTCGTCTCCTCCGATTCCATCTTCATCTCTTCGTTTCTCTCACCACTCTCCTCTTATTTGAATACTACATTACCAGTCATGCCATCAACCATCTCTTTCTCTCTCAATCTCATCACAACAGTACCTTCCACCATTGCTACTGTTTAGGACCTCCAAATTCTGGCCAACTATCTCCTTTAGTATATGATCTTGCCACCAATAGCTTTCCAATACATCGGCTATTCACTCTTGCATAATCGCAGTACGAAAATCAGTGAGTAATTTTTTTTATTTTGTGGTTAGGTTTTTTTTTTTTTAAATATATAAATATATTTTGCTTTCCTGTACTGATTCAGAAAATAATCACACACCCTTTTTCTGATATCTATTTATACAATATTCTTCTCTTGCTAACTAGTATTCATGCCCATATTGGTAACTAACATCCAAACAGAGTATTAATTATTCAAAACATAACTTGACAGTAGAAATCTTTGATAGAAATCCTGGTAACTATTACATTCTGTCATCTATTCACTCTTGCATTTTGATAGAAATCTTTGAATAGAGAATCCTGGTAACATTATATCCTATCATCTATTCACTCTTGCATTTTTGATAGAAATCTTTGAATAGAATCTGGGTAACATTACATTCTATCATTTTTAGAAATTTTCTAACTGATAGAAATCTGACAGTAGCAATTTTTATAGCAAACCTTTCCTAATCATTTTAGAAAATTTAATCTGACAGTAGCAATTTTCTATTAAAGTAAATTTAATTTTCTACGATTTTTAGAAATTTTTGAAGTTTAGGGATTTTTGCTGAGTTAGGGATTTGTTGGGATTGTTATACATTTTGCATTTTGATTATATTGTGTGTATTTCTGTTTCTATGTTAGATGTCAAGTGTTGAAGAGGATTGTGCAAATCCTGTAACAGTGACCCCTGTGGAGCATAAAACTTGATGCTTCTATTGTCCTCCTCTAAGACAAAGGTTACGTCATCCTAGGAAAAGAGTAGGAAAGGTTCAGAGGTTTTGGCTTCATTTCACAAAAATGATTATAGGTAAGGGTGTAAAGAACCTGGAAGGGGCTAAATGTAATTACTGTCATAACACATATGCATGGTTAAGTGAGAGGGACTAGTACTTTGAGAAAACATGTTTGCTAATTGCTCTAAAGTGTCCTTATTATCATGAGATAAAGAAAACAAAAAACTTTGTCATTTCAGTCGTTAAAGAAGAAAGGTTCGAAAATGTCTTGGCCTGTGGAAATTTGAACAAGTGCATGCAGAGATGCACTTGCTCAATGATAGTTCAAATATGAGTTACCTTTTAGGTTTCGTTGAACGTGAAGGTTTTTCGATCACTTTATGTAGTGTGATGCAAACCTTAATTTTTAGAAAACTTTTCACGCATATTACAGTAGGCAAGGGATTGTGTGACATTATTTAGTAATGAGAAAAAGAAATTGAGGTATTTGTTCATTTGAAATCAAATCAAAGAATTTGTCTTACTTACTGATTCATGGACTTCCCTAACAAAATGTTTCTTACATGTGCCTCACAACACATTTCATCGATAAGGATTGGAAATTACACAAAGAATTTTAAGCTTTTGTGTAATATCTAGCCACAAAGGTTGAGGGCAATTGAGAGATGGTGGCAGTAGAGCATGCTTTTGATTGATTGGGATATAGAGAAATTGTGCCACACTAACTGTTGATAAGTGCAAGTGCTAATGATGTTGCACTTGCATATTTGAAGAGAAAGTTCTCTAAAAGAGTGATGCCTTTATTTAAAAGGTGAGTGTTTTTCACATAGGTGTTGTGCCCATATCATTAATTTAATTGTAGAAGATGGCTTGAATGAAATCAAGTAAAGGTGTTCCGGCGTAACTCGGATTCGGGATGGCTGTGAAGTATGTTAGAAGTTCTCCTCAAAGAGAAGCAACGTTTTAAAGTCATGTGTAGAGAAGGAGAGGATTAATCATAAGAGTTCTTTGTTTGTAGATGATTTCAAACACGATGGAACTCTACTTTCTCATGTTTTAAATACTGCCATGCAAGTTTCAAAAAGCTTTTCGAAAGATTAGAGATGAGATCCAACATTTTTGCTTAGAACTTTAATTGAATACCTCCTACCACAAAGATTGGGATGATGCTAGGCATTTTACTTCATTTTGTGAAAAATTCTATGATGCCACTGTTCATTTAGTCTGGTTCATCTGCCAGGGGGCACTCCGACGATCAAGTCAGTATATCTCTCAAAGATAATCAATAGTGCTAAACTCACTGTTCAGAATATAAATTGCGTACCTTAGACCCATCGGGAGTGCCTCTTTTTTATAGTTAACTCAATCTTTGTCCCACTAGAAGCCTAGCTTTAATGGACTCTTGTTCAGTGCTTATCCTGGACTCTCCAATAGATAAGATAAACTCCCTAAAAGATTTATCCTTATCCATGCTAAAGTCTTTCCTTATTCTTGTACTCTCGTCCCTTATCCGCTTATCTCGGATTTCGATATCTTCGGAGATAACCTCGGCCTTGCTGAGATCACCTCGGTGTCATAACTTGGACACGCGGCACCTCGGCTGACACGTCGGCGTCGCCTTGGCCACGTGTTGGGACTCAGAAAATATCTCCCACAACTGCCCCCTAGGTTCTATTACCTCGGCATTTTGAGGTGATGGAACCTATATCGGTACTTTTTGCCAGTACATCGGCTTAAACCGAGCTTGTTGTCTTCTTAAAGATCAAGAATTCCAAGAGCTCTTCTTACGCATATGAGCTGTCGTGCACAACAACTCAACCATTCCCAGCCACGTACTTTCCTCTTACTGGATCGTGCTTGTGACGCGCTTCTAAATCGTCTCGCGCATGCGTGCGCCGTCTGAAGCTCACGTTGTTTTAGGCGCATTAATTTCGTTTACCGCCGTTTCAAGTTTTAACAAAAACGTTTTTCCCTCTCTTCGTCGTTTCACTTTTTTGTTCAATCCTTTAGCTTTTTCTCTCTCTGGCTTTTTTCCTCAAATCCGTCATTGCTCAAGCTTTCTGAGTTCTACAACTTGCTTCGTTTACCACCTCCGGTGCAATTTCCACCATTCTTCCGCCTCTACAACCGTCAGCAGACTTCGGGATGGCAGGTGGGTGGTGGGTGGTGGTGATGGTGGTGGCGAGGGGTGGGTAGTGACGAATGGGTGGCTGGTGGGTGCGGGTGGTGGGAGGTGGCTGGTGAGTGGTGGTGACAGGTGGTGGTGGTGGGAGGTGGGTGGTAGTGGTGGAAGACGGTAGTGGAAAATGGTGGCAGGTGGTGAGTTGGGTGGTAAAAAAAAAAAAAAACTGAAAACTAAAAACGGAAACACATTTTTTGTGTTTTCATTTTTTGGCCAAATTTATAAACTGAGTCCACTTATTTATAAATCAGAAATTTTACCAAACAAGTTTTTATTTGAGTTTTTTAAATTTTTGTAAATATAAACAGAAAACTGAAAACGTAAGTGTTACCAAACAGCACCTAAGTTATTGGTTTTATTTTTTAGGGAATGGTTCCTGTCCGGTCATTAATTGAATTGGATCGTACTATTGAATTTATAGAGATTCATCATGTGTTTTGTTTTGATAATTTGAACTGTTCAATGTGTAGAACTCGTCGAGTACTATATGCCTGTAAAAAATCACGTTAATCAGATATCGATAGCTATGTGATCAAAACAGATTTTTGTCAACCGTTAATTTATTCACCGTCCAATTTTTTATAAAAAACTGATTTGATCACATAACTATCGATATTTAATTAACGTGATTTTTTACAGACATATAGTACTCGACGAGTTCTACACATTGAACGGTTCAGATTATCAAAACGGGACCCGTGATAGGCCCCCACGGGCCCAACAGTACGGTCCAGTCCGATTAAGGACTGGACAGAAGCCCTGTCCTATTTTTTAATCTAATTTTAATGATTCGAAATATTCATATTTTAAGATTTGTTAAATATATTATAATTGTAAAAAATTAAATTAATTGGATATCAGAAAATATGTGTT